AAATTTATAAAAATGATGAAATTGATAATATAATTATTAAAATCAATAAGTTTTATGCATTTTAAGATGATTATTGTTGAATAATTTTTAAATTTTTACATTTTTATTAATTTCAATATATTGCAGTTGATTGTCAACATTTGTCGATAAAATCAATAGAGCCGCGCTTTTTAAACGTCAATAGAACATATTATTTCCATGAAGATTTCAAAATTGTAAATGATCAAATAATATCAATTATTTAGCAGGTAGGTGGCAGTACTCTTATTTTCTTTTCTTTAAATTTTTTCTATATTTTTTTGATCAAAAGCAAAATTATTTGTTCAACGGAAATATTAGTAAAAAAAATGTATTATTTTATTTTAAAAAATTAATATTAAAAAAAAAATATTATTGGTAAAAAAAATTTGAAAAAATTAATTTTAAACGTAAATAATGGTGAAAAAAATGTATTATTTCATCAAAAAAATTGATTTATTAATCAAAAAAATTGGTGAAAATTTATTTTTTTTATCTAAAATATTGGTTAAAATTTATACTTTTTATCTAAAATATTGATCACAAAAATTAATATTTTTTATGAAAAATATTGTTGAAAAAATGTATTATTTTATCAAAAAAGAAATTAATATTTTTGATAAAACAATTTTTTTTCAGAAATATTTTCTTTAAAAAATAATGTTTTTTCAGACAAATTTTGGAAAAAATAATCCATTTTTTCGAACAATATTTCTGATAAAAAAATTAATTTCTCACCAATATGTTTGTTTAAATAATAAATTTTTTTACCAATATTTCCGTTTAAAAAGATTTTTTTCACTAATATTATTAATAAAAAAATTGGTTTTTCATCAATATTTTTGATAAAAAAATGTATTTTTTACCAATATTTTTGATTAATACATCAGTTTTTTTGATGAAATAATAAATTTTTCACTATTATTTACGTTTAAAATTTATTTTCTTTAAATTTTTTTTTTGATAAAAAAAAATAATTTTTTTCACCAATAATATTTTTTTATGAAAATATTAATTTTTTTAAGTAAAATATTTTTTTTTTTTTAAATAAATTTCACTAATATTTTAGATAAAAAAAATAAATTTTCACCAATTTTTTTGATTAATAAATAAATTTTTTGATGAAAATAAGAGTGCTGCCACCTACCTGCTAAAAAGCGCGGCTCTATTGATTTTATCGACAAATGTTGACAATCAACTGCAATAGGTATATTGAAATTAATAAAAACATAAAAATTTTATAATTATTCAACAATAATCATCTTAAAATGCATAAAACTTATTGATTTTAATAATTATATATTATCAATATCATCATTTTTATACAGTTTAGATAAAATTTCGACCTCGTGCTCGACGAATGCCCCGCCAATTTCGTGGAGCATTCGCATCATACAATCCGCCAGGGGGAAGTCTCACTCAATTTTGTTGTAAATGAAAATTGTTTTTTTCGGCTAGCAGAAATTTATAGTAATTTGAAAAAACAATTTTGTTCAATATAATGTAACATAACATGTTATAATATGCATAACATTTTTAAATATTCGTTATCTAGTTTTTCAATTTTATTTTAAAAAATTAACCTTAAAATGCCGTCATGGTTTCTACTAACAGTTATACCTTAATGAATATGTATTTTGTAATGAAATACGTTTACCGAAATAAACGGTTTTGAAGAAAAATATGAGTATTTAAAAAAGTATAAAAAGTAGAGTATTTATTAGGTATAAAGAATAATAAAATATGTTACTGATCTTGACGATTTCATGGATATACAAACATTAACAATCGAGGGCTTGTGTCGGTGAACTAAATTACTAAACCTCCCTGTGGTGAAAGACCCTTTTTACTTAGTAATGAAGAACCCTCAACCGTTACTAATGACTGTAGCTCTGCAGACTATTATCTATATGGTTATTCTCATTTAACTTTCTGTTTATGGCATATCGAATCATTTAGTTTTCCTTCTTTAAAGTCAAGAAAACTAATTTTAACTTTAACATAAATACTAATATTTTGCCTTCTTGAAAATAAATTACATTTCGAATTCAGTATTATTTAAAAGTTTCAAAGACCATGATATTGTTCTCTTCCTTGAAATCAGGTATATTTTAAAGTGTTTTTCTTCTACAACTTTATCATATGTGCACGTATATTTTATTTAACTTTTTTTTAAATATAACATTTTCATAATCCAGTTACTTTTTAATCGAACTACGAAAAACTATTTATTATTTTTCATAAAGGGTTTGAGAATAACTAACTACAAATCCGATTTTAGTTTTTTAATCAAATTCAAAGCAAATCGAATATGTCAATTAATTTTTTTATAACATACAGACCATTCATACAAAGTACTAAAAAAATTTTAAAATCTACTAAACTGACATTTAAATTAAGTTACTTTGGGAATATATCATTGAATATGGATTTCAAATGAAATCTGAAAAATTAAAAAATGATAGATCTAATATTAAATTTTAGAAAACACATATAGAATTCACAATCAGAAACACGGATAAACTCACTTATGTTGAATACATATATTAAATTCGCAATTTAAAACTTTTAAAAACTGACCATTATATCATATTCGTAATCAGCGACCCCTAAAACCGCCGAGTACCCAGATATCACGCAACATTTTTTAGGAAGTTTGCTGCAAACTTGTCCCCTAGTGTGGATAAATGTTAGATGTCTATATGCGAATGTAAAAACCTAAATTAATTTTAGTAATTCCAAAAAAATTAAGATTTACTTTTTTTAGTTTTGAAAAAGAAAAATTAATAAATAATTTTTAAATCAATTTATGGAGGATCTAAATCTATCAAAGATATTGCATTTTATTTCCTTGCACGTATGTCGTGGTGCACAGCACATAAAAGCAAAAACATGGAAACTAGTGTTTAAAAACCACCCACATCAAACCATAAGTCTAAACATATTTTAATTTTTCTTTTTAGAAAATGAAAAGTTAACAGTATTATTACGTTACTTAGTTTTATAAAATAAATAATAATATAAAATTAAAATAATAATAAATATAAAATAATTTCGATAAATTTTATACTATATATATTTGATAACATCTAATATCATTAACTAAAATTTTTTTTATTCAGAAACGGAATTAAACTGGGTAGAATTTTTTTTCTTTTGGTTTATACCATAACGAGAAACTAAAAAGTAATTCGTTTTCTCCAGCCTAGATTTGCTGGTTGGAGTCTCACGTAAAATTTGTATTCCATATAGAAAACTATGACGAAATTATTAATTACTGTTAAATTAATAATTACTAAATATTACTAAAATATATATAAAAGGATACGAATTTAATTAAAAAATTTTCGAAGGTTCTTCATAATTTTTTGTTTTTATTAACTTCTAATAAATAAACATTTTTTCAAGTTCAAAATTTGAAGCTTCATACTCAATTACATGTATTATTATAAAAATTTGATTAAAAAATGAGATTTAAATCTTATTTTGCTGATTGGACAAAGTATTCCCTTTAACTTTTGAACTATCAAAAGAAATATTATTTAAATGTATTTTTTATTAAGAGAAAATCAAATTTTTCAAGTAACGTTATTAAAAATTTTTTTAAGCAAAACAATGTTGTTTCATGTTTTCTAAAGCAGTTATACATTTTTTAAGTAAATAAATAAATTGTCTTATATATGAGTGTAACAAAACTCTAAAATATTTGCTATTAAAAAAAAATGTGTTAGACTTCTTTTATAAAATTAAGTCTTATTTCTCAATTTTTAGAAACTTGGGAATTTTTTTTATTGTCATTAAAAAAGTTCTGCTTTTTTCCAATATAATGTGAAAATGAAAATGAAACAATTATGGGTTTTAGAGAAAAGTTTAAGAACCATTTATTTTATCTTTTTATTAAAGTTAATTTAATAACTCATATTGTTCCACATTCATTTTAACATATTTTTTGGCATTAGAAAGTACATAAAAAATGTTTAAAAATTCACAATATAAAAATTAAAATCCTTAAAATATTGTCATAGTTTTACGGATTTGAAAGAGACAGTATCACTTAGAACATCAAAATTCTGATAATTCCTACAGAACAGGATTGTTAGTATCGTTTGATTTTGAATATTAAAAAAACAAACGTTTTTTGAGAATGTAATTTTGATGATTCTTTGATAGAATATTCCAGGTGTCTTTATTATAACTTTTCTTCTCAGAAAAATGTACCAGATGACTCCTACATAATAGTAAGATTATTAACATCGACTTGATAATTTTGTTTGATGGAACACAACTTATATAAAAAATTAATAATAATGTTGCAACAATATTGCCTTAATATTGCCATTTAATATTGATGCTGTTGTTATTGTTTTATGTTATTTTAATATCAAAAATTTTCAAATTTGATTTTTTGACATATTATGTATCTTTATGTAATATGTATATAATATATTATATACTACAACTCACTGGTAGTGGTTTTTCAGTTTTGTGGAGTGATAATAAGTAAATCTTTCAATAAAGTGAATTACAGAAACAAAATTATTTTATAATGTGATTAACAACATCTACACCTAAATGTTTTGAGTTTCTCTTGTAGGATACTTTTTCTTAGATAATCATTTGTATAAATAATGTAGTAGTTATTACATTAGGTTATAAGTGCCAAGATCGTAGGTTCGATCCCCCTTGTATTAAAATTTAATTATATGTATTAAGGAACGGTATGCAAAAAGTACAGACATAAAAAAACTATATTTTTTCAACAAGCGTTATTTCAGTATATGTTAAATGTTTCTTCTTAAAATTTTTCTTAACATTATCTTCATCAAGTATGTAATCTGCTTTTACGAATTCACAAGTCAAAATTTTATTTATTTCTTTATACATTTTAAGAAAATTTAATATAATACTTTGTATATCATATTTTCATACAGCAGAAATAAGTTTTTTTAAAATGAATGTTTTTTTATGTTTACAATACTCACTCGACTTGCAGATATCGATGTCTATGTCATTTGATATCAATTTCGGAAATTTTGTGTTAAGCAACTGTTCGATTGTAAATTTCTGTCGGTGATGAGAATTTTTTAAATAATCAGGGTCATTCTGAAGAATTCTACTGTAAGTTAATGTCAACACTAAAGAAAACAATGAAAGAACTAAAAATAACTTCATTTCGAAAGTATAAACTAATGAATTTTTTAAATCACCCACAAAGTCATAACATATGAGAAGAAAGAATGTTATCTTCACTAAAAGAATATTTTCTTTGTTACACTTATTTCACTGTCAATAGTCTTCATAACATGTCCCTTTTTATTCATTTGTTTCATTTTCTGTTATTTTTACTGATAATTTTTTTTAATTATAATTTTTACTCAACTTTATTGGTATCATCCGATATTCATCAGTGTCAATGCAAATTGAAGAACTCATAAAAATTTACCTCAGTAAATGGACTAACATAACAAAAAATTGATTGAATCAATTAGCATATAATAAAAGAAGTTTCCCTAGAATTAATATTAAACAATATATTGTGACTTGTATTTTGCAAGAATTAATAAAGAAGATAGTATATGTAGATAAAGGAATCTACAGCAGTCTAATGAAATTATCATGTTTAAAAAGAAGCGAAGAGTAGTAGAAGACAACCCGTTGTAAATCGAGACACTGATGAATGGTAAAAGTAAGCAACGATTGGAACAGAAATGGGTCAAAGGCCTTGAAAATAACCGATTAAAGGGAGCGAACTGAGAAAACGTCGCTTCGAGAACGTGGAGAACCGACGACTGATTCCACCTCTGGCCTCCAGCTGTGGCGGTTCACGAGATGTAATACGTTCATACAAAACGCGCCGTCGTTCGTACGCGCTCATCTAAAACTAAGTGGGGATGCGTTTGAATGTACATACTTAATGTAATAAACAAGGGTGTGAGGAAGAAGGAGAGAGATGTTATCAAACAGAATGAATGAAGAGATGAAGAGGAACAGATAAAAGAACTTTATCGTAAGGGGACAATAGCATTTATGTTATACAAGCTCACACTGAAATCCTTGACAACTTGAATCGAATTTATTTTTTCTAACTTTTGACACCGAATCTTTGATAGATATTCATTAAATCAATTACGAATCATCAAGTTTATAAAAACCAGTTTAATTATACTCAAGTAATGAATATTTCTATAATTTTATATTATAATTTATATTTATATTTAGCATATAAAATTACAATCATTACCTGACTTCACTTTATGTTTAATCAAATGTTACAAAAGCTTAAGATGCAACAATCAATGATATCTTATTTATCAAACTCTAGTTTAGATCAGTTATACAATAGATACGAAACAATTGGTAACATTTTATAAACAGGTTACTAATATGTTAATATTTTTTTTTTATTAAAAATGTTATGTTTTTTACTTTAGTTCATGGTAAACGCAGTAACATCAATTAAAGAAATGTTATAAATTAATTTATAACAGGATAGTAAATTGATTAAGAATCGTTAAGTACCTGGTTCAGCAAAATGTCACGACGTACAAAATTACTTACAAAAAACTAAAATATATATATATATATATATACTGCCTAGAGTTTTTTTTATACTTTGTATAGTTTATATTCATATCTATAAAAGAAAACTTGTCGTTTTGAAAACCTTCATAAGGATTTGAACGCAAGACGTCTGTTAGGAGCACCTTTTAGATCATATGCTCTATCAAACAAGCTGTGAAACGTCATTAATATAAACCTGAACTCAAAATGAATTAAATTCACTTACATGCAAATAAATAAGCAACAAACGTTTTTTAATGTTCTTACGGCTTATTTATTAAATTGACTTTTTACAAAATGAGAATTACATGTAAGAATTAACGAGTAAATTTTTTTTAATGCAAACCGTCAAAGCTGTACCGAAAAATTTTTAATTATTTTTCTTCATACCTCGGTCGAAAGCACGTATTTCCTGCATCGACTTCCCAGCAGAAAGTCAAAAATTTGTGCATTGCTGTAGCAATGCACAAATGTTCTTGATGCAATGGCATTTCTTGTAAATGGCTCGGTCGGTAACTCATCGTGATTTTAACCCAACAGAACCGAGTTCAACTGCTGTCAGCTGATTTTTTCTAGCGCGCGCTCTCTCTTTTTTTCTCTCTCTCTCTCTTTTATTCTCTAATTCCCTCTCTCTTACAGTCGTTTGTATGTGTCAGTGCATATAAAAGTAAATAAAATATCCTGGAAAATTTGAATATGGAATTGAATATATATTTAGTTGCAAAAATTGTAGTTATATTTCCCACACAGCACATTATATTTCCTAAACATTTCATGAATACTTCATTGAAAGATTTTTAATATTTCAATGCAAGGTTCATGAAATGTTAATGAAAACAGGAAAATGTCCGCCTATAAGAAATATTTCAAGGACTTCGCATTGGAGTATTTCAAAATTTCAATGAAATATTTTAGAAATATTTAGGAAATATCATGTGCTGTGTGAGTTGTATTTTCTTTGCTTTTTTCAATGCCTGCCCCCGACCAGCAGCACTCGCTTCGCTCGTGCAGCAAATGTCGAGGCAGGCATCGAAAAAAGAGACTTGATTGAAAGAGAGAGACAGAGAAAAAGTCAGAGCTTCCAGAGTGTCCGTTAGTAGCGTTGAAGCGAGGAGCAAAATTAAAAGATGGCCGGCTGTCAAATGGAATACGCAATTGAAATATTTTTAAATAGTGAATTATTGTGCGTACTTTCCACCGTATATAAAGAAAAATAGTATACATTACATGGGCAAAACAGTCGAAAGCCCTAAACTGCGCGATGATACCCTCGGCTTCGCCTCGGGCATCATTTAGCGCAGTGCCGGAATTCGAACTTTCTGCCCTTATAATGTAATATACTATTTATAAAAAAGGGTCTTATAAAACAAATAAGGCTTGATGTTATTTCGACTTTTCTAGGAAATTGGAGATAATAAATTTCTTTGAAATTAAAAATTATTTTTCTATTAAAAAATGATTTAAAAGTTTTCAAATTTTTTTGGTATAAAAAAATTAGACGTTAATCCTTACATTTAATTCTCCTTCTGTCAAAAATCACCTTTACAATGAACCTAAAAACATTAACAGGAAATGTATTTTTTATTTTAAAAAAATTAAAATTAATACACTGTAACTTCAGAGTGTTGTTATTTATATTATTATTAGATGATTAACTAATCATGCTTAAAATATTTTTCGAATTTTTAGGAGGCGCAAGATTATCCCATAAAAATCATTATAGTTACAATTTTCATTTTAAAAAATTATATTATATATAATTATTTTTGTCTAGTTTTGTCAATGCTATAAGAAACAATCAACTATTTACACTTAAAATTAAACACACGGAAAAAATTATTTCAGTATATTTTACAAAACTAGTTTCGGAACAGCGAATACGGAGAGGAGTTTAAATAAAGGAGTTAAAATAGAATCATTTATACACTGAGAGACCTTTTGGATTGCAGCGGAACAAGGTAAGTGACAGTAGCGCCACTATGGTTTTGGTGTGCGGCGGTACAATTTAATATTTTTCAGAAAGTACGAAACATTTCTACATCCAAGCCTATTTCAGAAATTACAAAACTCCTTACAGTTATTCTAAAATAATTTCGCGTAAAGTAGTGAAAGTTTCTGAGTTTCCGAAAAACTTCGTCAAGGAATCGTTAATATTCGCAAGCTTTCAAATGAGAGGTTGTTCATTAAAATTTATTTATTTTTGTGATCGCTACAGACTTCCGAATATCAAACTCGTCACCACGCCTCACTCTACTCTATTCATTTTCGAAATTAGCATTTGACAAAATTTACATTAAAACAAATTTTTACATTACAGTATTTTAAGGTACCAAATTTATTTGTGTTAAAATTTTTATTTTACTGAATTTCTATTTACACAACTTTTTATTAAAAAGAATTCTCATTTAATCGAATTTTAAAAAGGCTATACGCGAGTATAAACGCAAAGCTGCCGTAGGCCGCGTAACTTTTTTTGTCAATGATATTTGAAGTTTTTTGAACTTTTTTTAAAAACTAATCAGTTTAGGTGAAAAATGTATAGGACATAAAATGTGTGTTCTTTTGAGACCTACAACTTTTGTCTAGAATTTTTTTTGAATTTTTACATTTTTTACGAGTTAATTGCAAAAAACCATAATCTTATGGTGTTTTTTTATGGTTTTTACCATGATAATCACATTTGCGCCAATTTTCACTATGATTTTCGTAATTAGCGCACCAAAATACCTGGATATACACAGTTTCAAAAAGATTGGAGGTTTGGGCTAATCGGAACTTAATCCAAAAACACAAATTCTAAAAAACAATAAAGAGTAATATAAAACTTGCTTGAATATTATAATAAATAATTAATAAAATTTGCATAATTTAGAAGCTGACAAGCTTATAAAGGCACGATTTTTACTGACCGCCAAACACTATATCTACCTTACAATATTCGTTAAGTAAAAACAAAAAGAGACAAAATCAAAAATATAAGAACAGAGAATGCAATAATGAGTATTATTTAATCAATTTGTTAGACGTTAAAGAATTAATAATTATTAAGAATTGGGAGTGTTTCAAATTTTTAAATGCTAAATTTAAAAATAAATTTAAAAACTTTTTTTATTCCAAAAAAAACATTATTAAAACTACAAAAAGCAATAATTGTTTGGTTTTTTCATTGTTAATTACGATTTGTAGAGGGCGCCAAAGTAGAGGTCTAAAATTTGTAAGATTTTGCTGTACCCCCTGTAGAGCCGCTCCTTACAGTTCGATATCAAAATACCAAAATTTTTTTTGGTATACATGAATACCCAGTGGACTAATATCATGGAATTAAAAAAATCTAAAAAAACAAAATGGCGTCCTTTTAAAATCAAAATTTAAAAAATCACTGTTTTTTACAGTCTTTGACTATAAAAAAATTGAAAAAAATTTAATTTTTAAAATTTTGATAATTAGTCCCCTGAAGAATATGTTTTTTAACAACATGCAAAAAAGAAATTCTCAAAATCTCGTTTAGATTTTTTGTTACAGGGGGTACCAGTTTAAAAAAAACTGTTTCCAGAAAAACGAGTTTAAAGTTTATGTTCACATCGTTTTTGCTATAGTTTTTGCGTACATGCAGATATATGTTTGTATATAACTTTTTTAAAAATCCGAACTTCTTCATAATATTTTACACTCGTATTTTTGACATTATAAGGATTAAAAAAATGTAAAAAAAATCGAAAAATTTTTTTTTCAATCGCAAGTATGCCTTAAAACACCGATTTTCATTTATCTGAAATCGCAACTGGTCAAACAAATAATCGACAAAAATTTTGGCGCTGTTTTTAAAATTTACCAATTACGATTTTCTTGATAATTTCTGATTGGTCCCCGGTTAAAAAAACTTGTACAGGATCGTGTACACGATCTTGTGCATTATCGTGCATCGATCTTGCACTTGTTCATTCACCAGGTCATATACAAGAGCAGCAAGTGAACATGTAAAAAGAATTGGAACAACGATCTTGTACAAGAACATGCATATGTTCATTCATAGTAACTAAAGAAATGAAGTTCACGAGTTCATGCTTGTGTACTTGCATAAGATCGTACGTAAGTTCATGTACATGATCTTGTGTTAATTTTTTTATTTTTGCATAATTTGTGGAAATTTTTAACATTGGTCATAAAGACTCTTTGTTCGTACGTGCGAAAAACAACTGCGCAGCTATTTAAGCCACAGAAAACCACTGCGCAGCCATTAAAGATTTTGATTATAAACTGTAATTGAAACTAAAGATATTATACATGATCTTACACACACGGAAAAACTTTGTTCAAGAATCATTCCTAAATTTGTTCAGGAACTGAGGATATGAGAATAATTCTGCAAAAATTACAGAAAAATACATAAATCATTCAAGAAAATACTTGTATTTTTATTATGACATTGGAAGACTTCTTGTTAATGCCGCGATCGGAATATCTCAGTCACTGGGTGTTAAAAGTTTCTTGAACTGTTTTAGAAGACACAGTACAGTAACCAAGCACTAGGCAGGGATTGGTTGCGTCAAATATGTTTCCAATGCATAATACCATAAGCTGCTAAGGTAGCTGAGAGATGTAAAGCGCAGTTTTTGGACTCTCGAGGACGTGGGATCGAGTCCTCCCAGAGTAAATTTTTTTTCTCGCAAACGTAAAAAAGTATTCTAAAACAAGTTCAAGACTTTCTGTAGTGAGTTTAGGAAGTTGTCTTGAATTTCTTTACAATTCTTATAGAAATACTGCTTAGAATTTTTCAAAGAAAATATAAATAAGATTTCTTAAATTATTCTCATATCCTCAGTTCCTGAACAAATTTAGGAATGATTCTTGCACAAAGTTTTTCCGTGCAGGATCTTGTTCGAGTACACGAGCACGGACACGTGTAGTGGATTCCATCAGTTGACATAAATATGAACATGTGCAAGTTCTTGCACTTATTCTTGTACAAGATCGTTGTTCCAATTCTTTTTACATGTTCACGTTCTGCTCTAGTACATGACCTGGTGAATGAACATGTGCAAGATCGGTGCATGATCGTGTACACGATCCTGTACAAGTTTTTTCAACCGGGTCAATTTTACAAATCGCGCCGAAATCTTTCTGTTATTTGTATTCGCAAATTTTGACACACACAGCATCTAAATTTGCAGCAATATTCGCAACATTGCCTCAATATTCTAATGTTGTAGCAACATTGCAGAAATAATGATAATATTGAGGAAATGTTGTCAATATTGTTGAAATTCGGTTAACTAAAATGTTAAGTAAAATATAATACTGTAGTATAAAAATTCTGCCAAATAAAAGTTCGGTTATTTCTAAATTTTTTAAAGTAAATCTTCGTTTAAAAATAAATTCTATTAAAAACTAATTCGAAAAATGAAAATTGGTCAAAAAATAATTATATCTAGTAAAATTCTATAAATAGAAAATTCTAACTAATTATTTTTATGCAGTAATCATGCGCCTGATTTTAGGGTATGACATTAAAGGATTTTGCATTAATACGATTAAGAAATAGTTTAAATTAACTTTTTCAATAAGTTTATTTAAACCTACATTTTTTAACATGTGGACTATATCAGTAGAAAACTTTTTTTAAAAAAACATATTTCGATCGTTTTTTATATTATTTTTTGACAAAAAAAACTTAACTTTAAAATAGTACTCTGTGGGAGGTAAACGTTTTCACTGAAAAAAATATTCAGTTTAAGAAATAAAAATTTGGTTGAGTGTTTTTTATGAACTTAACAAAATTTTATTTAATGGGACAACAAAAATGTTTGGTTAATCTTTATGTCCTATTATTAATTAATTATGAATTTAACATTTAATTTAAATATATGTCTAATTTAAATATTTTTTTCTTTGAAAAAGTTTTACCTGTTCTAGGGATTTTTATTTCCAGGCCGGAAGCTCTGAACTCTAGACTACGTATCCTTGTCAGGATCTTGAACTAAATATCTATACCCAAATAGCACAACATATTGCCACAATATTGCTGCAACATTCATTATATCCTCCATGCGGAAATATTGCACAGAAATATTTAGGTAATATTGAGTTCAGGCCTCTAAAACGTCGAAAAAAGGCCTTATTTTAATAACTTTTTTAGAAAAGTTAAAAAGTAATGAAAAATATGTTTATATTTCTTTATTGGGGACAGTTCAAAGAAAAAAAAATACTTTATAATTTTTTTTTAAATATCAGGATTACAGACACATGATAAAAACCCTTTCTGAGGTGAATCACTAAATGGCCGGAAAGGTCTTGGCTATAAAAATATGCAACTTAAAAAAAAATTCGTACATCTTTTTCTAGATAATGTTATTAAGAGCTACAGTTAAATTTATAGGTAAATCGGCTGAGATATGTGAAATTTATGTTTTCGTCCAGCTCAAGAAAAGTAGTTTTGAGAAAAACGAGTTTAAAGTTTTACTTACACGGAGATAAATTTTTCACTAATTTTGTATGAAAACTACTTACTCATTTAGTAAAACTATTGGTAAGTGCCTTGAACGAATCTCGCACGGCAGAGAGGGGAACTATATTCACTCATCATTCGTGCAAAATAGACATAAAGTTGCTACTAATAACGTTAATACCAGTGATCTTTTAACGCATGGGAATTTTTGGAACTATTTTAGTATAAATTTAAGCGTTTTTGTTAAGAAAACGGACATACGAAAATCGCTAGTATAGTATTGGTACTTTTAAATTAAGAAATTTCAATCCGTGTATGATTTAATAATCTGCAATGCCTACGCCATATAATCAGTGAAAGTTTACTGACTAATTGTGAAAATTAGTTAAATTTTAGGTACTGGTGGAGCTAACCAAGAATTGAAATGAAGTGTAAATATGTCTCTGCATTAGATTATATAGGAAAATACCTCTACCAAGCAAGCAGTACAGGATCACGATCGGGATCAAATTCAAGAACTTAAAAAGTGTTTCTTCTTATAATTGATATTGTTTATTGTTATATTGTTTCTTATTTTAAATACCCTTAGACACCTTTTAAATGAAAAATTTTTTTTGGATATTTTGAAAATTCTAGAGTGGTTAACCCCTTAATTACACTAAACGACTAAACGAAAAATAATTCCCTTTTTTAACTGAGCACTTTTTCTTTTACTAGTAAAATTGAATAGCAATATTAACTCAATATTGCAGTGCAATATTCCCACAGGACGGACATAATCACTGTTTCAGCAATATTGCCTAAATATTGCCGTGTAATATTTGCAATATTATAGCAACATGTTTTGCTATTTGTGCATATGTACAAGGTACGAGCAAATGTATTTTGTTGACGAAAGCAAATTTTGGTTGGAAACATAATATGTTTAACCATCAATTAAGTGTTTGGTTAAAATAACTAAATAACTTGTTTCAGTTAACCAAAATTTGGTAAAGACAACTAAAATGGCATAACAAAACGATTTGGATGCCAGCATTAAAAAAATCAAATAAAATATTACTTATATAATTTGTTATTTTTACCCAACTAACTCAACAGAAGGTCACAATATTGCATCATTATTACATGTCAATATTGCAAATATTTCACGTAAATATTGAGGCAATATTATTGCAACATTTATTGTGTCCGCGTTAAGAAATATTGCAAAGCAATGTTGACTCAATATTGCCAGACAATGTTACCTAAATATTGTTTAGAAATATTACCTCACTATTTCCTTACAATATTCGCAATATTGTCATATAATATTGATGCAATAATTAGGCCATATGATGTGCTATTTGGGAATTAATTCAGATTTAAAAAGTACTATAATAGTATTTTTCAATATGGTATACTGGTATCACTCCTGTTACTCACACAGCACCGAAAGTTTCCTAAACCTGTATTAAAGCTGTGCGTGCCAAGTTGGAAAAATTTACCGTAAAGCTTAGCACAGGTTGTGTAAATATGTAAATGTCCGCAATTGAGTAAATGTTTAGCGTAAAACTGTACTGAATCTTTAAATTACGTATTTAGTACAGGTTTAGCGTAAAACTGTACTGAATCTTTAAATTACATATTTGGTACAGGTTTAGCGTAAAACTGTACTGAATCTTTAAATTACATATTTGGTACAGGTTTAGCGTAAAACTGTACTGAATCTTTAAATTACATATTTGGTACAGGTTTAGCGTAAAACTGTACTGAATATTTAAATTACATATTTGGTACAGGTTTAGCGTAAAAGTTGCCTGAACATTTAAAATAAATCTTTTGTACAGTTTTATCATAAAATTTGCTTAAAAATTAAAATTAAATCTTTATTACAGTTTTAGTGTAGAAATTGTCTATAAATTTAAATTAAAGCTTTATTAAATATTTAGTGCGAAATTAAACTACAAAAGTGTTCATTACATTTTCGTTAAATTTTTGATATTGAGAAATTGTTAACTGTAAATGATGCAGACAATTGAAATAAACAAAAAAATAACTAATTAGAAAAGGTATAATTAAATGAAACTTCAAATACAGTGTACACAAATATATTTATTAAAATTTTGCATTTTCCAAAACAATTATACAAACAAATTTAAATTTGTTTGTATAATTGTTATAGATTGTTATTATTGTTATTAATTGTTATTATTTATAGACAATTTCTACACTAAAACTGTAATAAAGATTTAATTTTAATTTTTAAGCAAATTTTATGATAAAACTTTACAAAAGATTTATTTTAAATGTTCAGGCAACTTTTACGCTAAACCTGTACCAAATATGTGATTTAAATATTCAGTACAGTTTTACGCTAAACCTGTACCAAATATGTAATTTAAAGATTCAGTACAGTTTTACGCTAAACCTGTACCAAATATGTAATTTAAAGATTCAGTACAGTTTTACGCTAAACCTGTACTAAATACGTAATTTAAAGATTCAGTACAGTTTTACGCTAAACATTTACTCAATTGCGGACATTTACATATTTACACAACCTGTGCTAAGCTTTACGGTAAATTTTTCCAACTTGGCACGCACAGCTTTAATACAGGTTTAGGAAACTTTCGGTGCTGTGTGGGTAATTATGTACCAATACAATACTAGTCTAATAAAAGTATCCCAAACTCCTAGAAGCATTAAGTATGTAAAGTACTTAATAGGAGAATAATACCTTGCAGACTGATCGCAACCTACGAGTGTTCGAAGAATTCGTTGCACACTCGTGTAACATGCGTAGATTTTTGAAATAATGTCAAAAATGAATTACAATTGATAAAAAAAATGCTATTGATTTGAATAAATCAAATATCCAATGATTGATTTTTGCATTTTTTGTATTAAATTAAGTTGTAATTATTAAATTGTTATTATTTAAAGTAAACGATGTTTATCAGTGAGTTTGTCAGTGTCAGACTTTTTATTATTTTTAACAGAGAAAAAGTGTTTAATACACGGAGAGAAGGGCGTAGTAGATTTTACTACTATCTCAGTTAAATCTACTAAACAATAACGTTCATTTTGAACGGACTAAACAGTCAGTTAAATGAACGATACTGTTTAGTAAAATGAAAGGAAGCATTTACACGAATATCGAAAGAAAAGAATTTACCGACAGAAACGAAATGTAGAAATCTGATATTGGTTGTCCGCAATCTGGTTAATTGTGGACAACCAATCAGATTTGTGCATTTTTATTCTGTCGGTAAATTTTATTGTGTGACAGAACTATAGTAGTCCCTCTGACTACGCTGTTTAGTAGAATCTGGACTAAACGTGTTTAGTAGAATATACTAAATCTCTTCTCTCCGTGATACGAATAAAAATTATGACAAATTATTTCATAAATATTTAAAGTACCTATTCAATTTTAATATTATAAAAAAGTTTTTTAATTTAATTTAATATTTTTTTATGAGAAAATTTACAAACCTAGTTTTATATATAAAAAAGGTGTTTCTTTTTAATAACTTAAGACTTTATTTTTTGTTTTACTCTTAAAAATTAAATAAACAAATTATAATTCGTTATTTAATGTCATGTCTTTTCTTTAAACTTCCAAGCCAGCAGTTTGAGCATTTAAAGTCTCATATACCCAAATCTGTCGCAAATTTTTCTGCTTGAATTTGTAAAATTGGTCCACTAATCGGAATATTGCGATCACGTTGTATTTTAAACCACTCAAATAGAGCTTCGTCAACAAGCTATGAATGTTAGACGAATGTTACACCATTGTGCAACGAATTCGTCGAACACGCGTAGTTTGCGATCCTCTAGGGCAGTACAATACCAGTATGTCGTACCTTATAGGTTAGGATGCCTCAATGCTTTTTTCGCCATTGTGGTATGAAATACTAGTCTAGAATACTAGCCTAGTACAGTTCGAAAGTGTATTGCTGGTACAGTACTTATACGCTGGTTATATGGAAACCGTTACCCACATAGCATGATGTAAGGTTGATGCTTATTTGAATGTCTTGTAACTGAAAGCATATAGTGTAATATCAAAATATATTAAGTATAATTATGTTATAATATTATATTATATGGATTCCAATAGGGTTCGTCAAATAAAATTTACTTACGATGTGATATCACAATCTATTCAAATAAGCATGCAGTGGGTGTGGGTAAAATTTTACATGTTTTGTTGAATAATAATAATCTCAACTATAAACACATCGTAATTTTTTATTACAAGCAACACTTAAATCAGTAACGTTTATATATTTAAGTATTTAATACCATTATATTACTATAAGGTACAAAATGAAGGACAATAAATTAACCTGTAAAATTGAATTTCAAAAATTGAACAAACATTCAGCATTGAATTCCAATTAACTCAAATTCGGATCAAATATTTATATTTCTATGAAAATATATTATTCCAAAAATTTAGTGTTATTAACATTTATAGTGTTATAACAAGTTGACACAATTATTTTTGACTGTTTTTTAAGCGACGTCAGTTGCATACTAATTATACTTTTTCAACATTCGTTTTGTATAAATGTATATTGATAAATGTTCAAACTATCTATAGATGATGTGAATATAGTTTTTGAAAAATTGTTAAGAGTAGAGATATTTCTGATCGAAAAATTTTATTCTCATTCATCATGACCCAGTGTATCAACAAAAGGTTAAACCACATTTTAAGAATTAATTCATTATTTTTTGATTTGATGACAAATTATTTTCCTCGATAAATTTCAATAATTCGATCTTGATCCACATATTCAAAAATATGAGGAGCATCCATTAAAATACCCACTGTACCAACAGTTGTTACAATGAAGAAAATATACAACTGCAAACGATCTATTACCATGGCAACGTATTTCCAATCTTCTCTTGTCTGAAATAGAAATATTTAATTTTAGTACTGTTTTCAAATAAAAAATTTTGAAATAATGGTAGAATATAGTAAGCACTCTTGCAGAAAGGAAGAGGATCTGCTTCTAATATGTAACTTATTATTCCAATGTCTAATACATAGTCCAGTCAAAGCATAGAGATAATATAAAGAGAGTAGGTAATACCCCGTGTTAAGTATACTCTTAAAACGGAACCTTTTTAACCTTTAAACTGCACCGTGTAAAAAAATCACGCTTAGTGCTTTTAGCGGTCTGTCAGAATGGTATTCCTTTTTTTGGTTTTTATTTTTTACATTAAAAAGACTATTTCTATAATATTTTGATGCAATTTTTTTTGTTACAATACTGTTTTTTCAATTTTTTTTTAACTTTGAAAAAATTGTCATCTAATAGATTATTATAAAATATGAAGCTACTGAAAAGCTCAAGCATTCTATTGTACTTTGAAAAAAAGTAATAAGCGAAATAATTTTCGATAAGCGTCCCACAGACCGCTAAAGCAGTTTAAAGGTCAGCTTTAACTTTTCTATTGCCACTTTTTTAAAAAAAAAAAAAAAAAAAACATTAGTTTAAAAGTTATACTGAAAAAACTAAAACAAGTTGTTCATTTTATGATCATTTAGCTTCCTTATCATGATAAACATTTATATTATTAGTTTTAAAAAAATTCAAAATTTCAATTTTTTGTTAAAAATAAAAATAGCGATCAAGTTTGTAAATATTGGTAAAATGTAAACTTTATATTTAAATCAATTGATTTGTTTTGATGCCAGGAGTATAATTTTGACAAGAATTAATTAAAATTTCTTTATAGGAAAAAGTTATTTCAAAAAATACAAAAAACAATTTTCTTCAAAAATTCAAAAAATGTTTTAATCTATAGAATTCAGTAAAATATGAACTTTATATAGGTTAATCGATTCATTTCAATACCAGAAATAAGTTTTTTTAACTAACAAAATTAAATTTACAATGAAAAAAATTGGTTGACAAAAAATAAATGTTTCAAAATTTTTAAAAAATTGTAAAAAAATGTTGTTTATATAATCGGAAAATATTATTGAAAAATAATTTAAATTATTATACGAGATATTTGTAAAAATGGACGGCTACTGGGACATGGACGGTAACTGGATCAATGACGGTAACCTTCCTATGAAAAATTGAAAATCATCACGAATATCATGATTATCTTATTTGAATTTCAGAACTTCCATACATAAGACGCGAGTGATTGGTCAATTGAGAGTGGCAAGCGATGCGAGAATAAAAATAACTTATCACAGAAATAATTACATAATTGATACTACCCAAAATTGCACTATATGTAATCTTAACAAATTGGAAACACTTTCTCATTTCCTCTTTTACTGTCCTATATGTATACAACAAGTAGAGTCAAATTTCTTAATAAATACACAAAAAATTATTCTATGTTTGATGAGACCCAAATTCTACAGAGTGTATTGACTATATTAATAGTGTCGAACAAGTGAATGATATATTTTGTTATGTGGGAAATGTGCTAAAAATTAGATCTTTTATTATAAATGAATAATGTTTTAAATATTGATGATTTGTACTGTGTTTGTATTATGCAAGAGTCGACTCGAACCTTTCTATCAGTATTTATACTCAAACAAATAAATTTATCTATCTATCTATATGTATGTATTGCCGATATATTAAATTTTTCGCAAATACGGAATTTTTAAAAAATTAATTTTTTGACAAAATATTAATACTCTGACATTTAACGGCAATTGCTTATACTATTTTTGAGTTCTCCACAAAATTTGAGCTTAATTTATCAAGTATTTTTATTCCTTTTTACGTTTTAAGCAACAAATTTAAATAGGGAGTCACAGAATCGTCATGGTTTGGCATGCAGATAATCATCTATCTCCTGTTGTCGTAATATTTTACTGCAAGCTTGCAGCAACCTTATAGAGGTGGGAAATTTATAATTAATCTTTCTGTAAGATTGCCGCAAGATTTTGTTTATCTAAGTATCGCATTGATGTAAATGAAATTTTTAAATTTAACTAACCTGTATATATAAATCTTCATTTCTTAAATGTTCAGCAATAAATTCAACTGCTTCAGTTGCTTTACTTGCTTCAGGACTAAGAAGAACAGAGTCAGAGCTTTCTGATCCTCTTCTATCAGCCATTGTTTCAATACCTCCTCCAGCTGTACTGGAACCACTAGTATGATGATTTTTTCTGTTAGCACTGCAATTAGGATGATGCAAGTCTGACAACTCCATTACCTCCATTTTCGATTTATTCATGGAAGGAGGTAGATGTTTTGGTATTTCAGTAGGACTCCCAGAGTAAGTTGAAGTTGGAAGTGTTACGTTAGGTATTTCCATCATCCATTTTAGTCTGGTCTTCTTTGGTCTCCTCATAAGCAAAACTGCTGGTAAAACTTTCAAAAATATTTTGCGAATCATTGGTGGCATTCTATGAGTTCTGGGACCACGGAAATTCCAATTAATAATAACTACAGTAACCAATATACTAACAGTGTTCATAACAAACGTAAACAGTAAATATTTCGCTATTAGTGGCAGTACAAGTGATGTAGGTGGCAGAATTTTACTCACTAAAAGTAAAAATACAACCAACGACAGAAGAATACTAATACCAAGTGTAACCTTTTCACCGGCTTCGGCTGGCAAATAGAACACCAGTACACACAGAAATGAAATTAATACAGTTGGCAGGATCAAGTTAACAGTATAAAAAAGAGTTTTCCTTCGAATAATTATGTAAAACGTAATATCTGTTTCAGTTGGAGCGCTTTCTTTATGTACATTAAGGTATGCTGGAACGTTGACAATATCCCATGTGCCACTTTTCCAATAATCAGATAAATCGACAAAATTTTTATCATTATAAAGAGCCAAAGAAACTTGATCTCCATTAAATGTCCATGAGCCAAACTTCATAATGCAAGTTTGTTGGTCGAAAGGGAAATATGTAACGTCGATTGTACATGAACTTTGATATATAGCAGGTGGCACCCACAATACTTCACCATTTGGATATATTAAGATGTTACTTTTGTATCGTACTTCATAATTTCCATCAGCACTGAAAAGTAAAAGTATTAAGGTGAGTAAATTTAGCTAAATAAGAATTAGTTTTAAATATATTAGCTTCTTATATTGGAATCTCTAACCCTTATTGCATAATGAACTTTTTGTGTGCAAGGGATGGAGGTTTTACGGCCTTAAAGCCACTTACGGCTTAAAGTGTATATATTAAACTTAAGTATGGGTATTTAATATTTAGATTTATTTAATTCATTCTAAATTATAAAAAAAATATAACTAGAATGATATTTATTGAAATTTGTGCTTTTACGTTTTTGACCTTTTTCACTAATGTTAAAGCAAACAAAAGCATAAAGAAACTAGGTACCGAAAGAACACGAAACTTTTGACGCTACTGCTTTATCTTTACTGCTGCTTTATCTTCCTTTGTGACTCTTCTTGACGCTGCTCACCAAGGTTGGTGAAAAAAAAAAATAATAATAAAAAAAAATAAAAACTCATTAAGAACAACATAATAAAATATATTAACTAGATAGGCCTTAATTCTCTTACGAGAACTAGTTACCTGAAAAATTGTAAAGATTGACTAAAAACAAGTGTAAAATACTGTTTAAAAATTTAATATGAACAATAAAAGAATTATTCAATGCAAAAAAAGGTTGGGTGAGCTACGGCTAGGATTACAGTTTTCAATGTATATCAACGCTGTGATATGAATGGTATATATCCTAAAAAATTGTTATACTTATTGAAATTGACTACTGCGATTTCTTTAAAGAAAAATTCTATTGTAATAATTTTAGAATCACGAAACATATTTGAATACGGGACTACTAAAACCATACATGTAGAAATAGTCAGAGATTTAACGAGACCATTGTTTCTGGGCCGCTTTATCGATTCTTTAACGAGAGAAAGAAATCAAAGGTATTTTATTGAATAAATTTACCACATGAAATCCTATATTGTTTCCTATATGAGAGATTCTTTTTCAATCGCCCCAGCCCAAAAAGTCAATGTTCTGGGATTGGCTTCATACTTTGGTAAATTGTTGTCCTATATGATAGTAATAAATTCCTAAAATATAAACTCATTAAAAAAATATTTGTAGAAAGGGATAAAGTTCCGAATAAGGAACCCCTCCGATTTTAATAAAACTTGGTGTACTTACGTATTTTTTTGCGCTGAATACGAAAATCATAGTGAAAATTGCCGCAAATTTGATTATCATGGTAAAAACCATAAAAACACCATAAAATCATGGTTTTTTCCGATTATCTCGTAAAAAACAAAAAATTTCGAAAAAAGTTTTAGACAAAAGTTGCAGATCTCTAAAAAACACACATTTTATGTTTTATGCATTTTTTATCAAAAGTCATTATTTTTTGAGAAAAATGGTCCCAAAGTATTTTGCGGAAATTGTGGGGTGGAGTCTACAGCAGCGGTAAACGCAAAATACTAAACACGGCCTTCGGCCGCGTAAGGTGCTGCTCGCTTTTCTTTTTAAAAAAACGTTGGCGAGAGGGGGTGGATATGGCCGAAAGTATTTTGCGGAATTCGTTGGATGCTGAGTAATGGTGAATATGGTACTGCCCGCTTTTCTCTTTAAGAAAACCTTGGCGAGGGGGGGTGGATATGTCCGAAAGTATTTTGCAGAATTCGTTGGATCGTGAGTAATGGTGAATATGGTGCTGCTCGCTTTTCTTTTTAAAAAAACCTTGGCGAGAGGGGGTGCATATGGCCGAAAGTATTTTGCGGAAATTGTGGGGTGGAGTCTACAGCAGCGGTAAACGCAAAATACTATTGAATAAGCTAAACGCAAAAAACCATGATTTTATGGTGTTTTTTATGGTTTTTACCATGATAATCAAATTTGCGGCAATTTTCACTATACTGGTATACCTAAAGATCATCTTCGAGGATTTAGGTAGGCACCGCCTACTTTAATATTCTGTTTCTCACAAAATTAGTGTGTTACCATTTTCATATTTACATAGCTCATGGGAAAAAACCTCAGCTTTCCAATGAAAATAAAAAAAAAAAAAAATACCCGAAGGGGTGAAAATCGAAAAATAAGGGTTGATTTTGAAAAAAAAGGGGTCAAAAAATTTTTTTTTTAAATTTGTGTATACATTTTTGAAAAGTACGTGAAAAATGCATTAAAATTCATTATAGATAAATTAAAATCCATTAACTTTTGTCATAGTTATACGGATTTGAAAATGACAATGTTACCCTTAACGTCAAAACTTCAACCCCCTCTACTTTCTACAAATATTTTTTTAATGAGTTTATATTTTAGCAATTTATTACTATCATATAGGATAACAATTTACCAAAGTATGAAGCCAATCGTAGAACATTGACTTTTTGGGCTGGGGCGATTGAAAAAGAATCTCTCATATATAAATCCATGTATAATCTTAGGTTAATATTTCAGAATCTACATGAAATCTTATGTGATTTTCTATGTTCAAATCGTTGTGAAATCATATGTAAAAATGCACACGAAATCTCATATGGTTTCCTATATTAAAATTTGTATGTAAGATTTAATATAAGGAAATCATTAGAATTTTATATGATATTTTTTATAAGATTTGATGCATTCGGGCGGGACAAGACAAGAAAGCGTAAACTTCAAGAATGTGTTTTATATAATAAGATCGAGAAGTTATCTCCCTTTTTTTGTTTTAATTCGGGAATCTCCGATTTTAGAAAATTAATAAAAAATATCGAGCAAGATTTTGAAATATGTGCATTTAACCTAAAATAGAAAGTGCATGTAACACTCTGCTGTACTTTATTTATATGTGACCGTCCACGACAAAACAAGGCTTAGCTCCCAAAAGTAAATTTCACAGGGCAAGCGATTGAAGTAGAAGCAGAAACAAGGAACACGCTTGACATGCCCGTCTTTAGAACGTTATAGTGTCAAAAGTAATTGACATAAACAATTTCTGACTTTTGCATGTGAAAGAGCAACTTAAAATCTATCCATTAGCATCAAAAACTCAAAATTGATTTTTTGGGTTGCTAACCCTGGCGGATTCGATTTGCGTAATGTCTACTTAACTAAGTGGACTTTAGGTAGACATTAGGTAAACATGTAAAAAAACGTATAAAAAAGCTATTAATCGACTTATTATGATAAAAAAAAGTTGATAAAAGGGTAAATGAATGTTTATAGAGTAAATTCGTACAAAATTTGTAATTAATAAAGCATTAAATAATTAATAATGAATGGAAATGTGTGCGAGGTACCTGATCAGTTCAGCTGTACAATTATTTTCGTGCTATTTTCATGAAAAGAATATAAATTAACGGCAAAAACAACTGATATTTATAAAAAAGTGTAAAATTGATTTAATTTGAGTGTTTGCAATACGAATTATTAAATAATAATTAAGTTTTTATCAAAGGTGAATAGTGTTGTGAAAACCTGTGAAAACTAATGAGTTACTACATTACCAATCGCATATGATAATAAAAAGTTCTCGATGAGTGTAACAAATAATCTGCAATCATGTCCGTAATTTTGGACGAGAAACAATTATGAAATCAATAATTATTTGTATAACTTTATTCTGCATTTTAAAATTCTCTTTTTATTTTCTTTCAAAGCAAAAGCTTGGAAGAAAACATGCTCGCACTGTATTGTAAAAACTGGTGGCGCCATCTCTGGCAATCTCGGAAATTATGTACTTGGTTAAATTGCAGCTTTTTTGTTACACTCATCGAGAACTTTTTATTATCATATGCGATCGGTAATGTAGTAACTCATTAGTTTTCACAGGTTTGCACAACACTATTCACATTTGATAAAAACTTAATTATTATTTAATAATTCGTATTGCAAACACTCAAATTAAATCAATTTTACACTTTTTTATAAATATCAATTGTTTTTGCCGTTAATTTATATTCTTTTCATGAAAATAGCACGAAAATAATTGTACAGCTGAACTGATCAGGTACCTCACGCACATTTCCATTCATTATTAATTATTTAATGCTTTATTAATTACAAATTTTGTACGAATTTACTCTATAAACATTCATTTACCCTTTTATCAACTTTTTTTTATCATAATAAGTCGATTAATAGCTTTTTTATACGTTTTTTTACATGTTTACCTAATGTCTACCTAAAGTCCACTTAGTTAAGTAGACATTACGCAAATCGAATCCGCCAGGGAAGCCTTGTTTTGTCGTGGACGGTCACATATTATATAAATTTATATTTATATAATAATTAAATATTTATAATAATATAATAATTTATTTATATTTAAATAATCATCTAAAAGTTTATAGCAACAAATGTCGAAAATGTAATTAGTTCGAAAATGGTTAGGTTTCAAAAAACATCAGAAATAAGTGTCAAGTGTCCTTTACACATAAATAATCATGATATTAATTATTTTAGTAACAGTTTTAAAGTTTAGAATAAATAATATATAAATTTTAAGCATTTAATTTGCATTTATTCCTCAAATATGTTAATCATAATATTCATAATAAATTTAACTCAGTTCAATTAATAAACGAAACTTTAATATAATACACCGTCCGACACGATTTTTCACACACGAAAAAATCAATGATTTTCAGAAACTAGGACCAAAAAAAAATACCCGTGTCTGGCCGTTTTGCTAAATCAGGTCATTTTTTGCTTTTAGGGGTAAAAACAACCCTTAAATGAAAGGTGATAGGAAATCTTGTACAAATAAATAATTTTTTATGAAACCTGGTATCTCGGGGTTTTCCGGGTCGCTGATTACGAATCTGATGTCAGATTTTCAAAATTCAAAATGGCGGATCCAATATGGCGGTCGAAATTTATAAAAATTCACCAATTCATTTAAAAGTTGTTACTTAGGGGTTTTTGGGGTCGCTGATTACGAATATGATATCAGATTTTGAAATTCAAAATGGCGGATTCAATATTGCGGTCGAAATTTATAAAAGTTCATCGAATTCACTTGAAACTTGTTACTTGAAGGTTTTTGGGGTCGCTGATAACGAATATGATGT